CAATCGACCCTTAGCTCTATAGCCACATATGTCGCCCTAATCCATCCAAATCTCAATATTTTTTAATAACATTTGTGTAAATGATAGAATAAATATGGTCCAGAGGTAACCAAATTATTTGAGCTTTAGAAAAGCTAAGTGAGAGAGAGATGAAACAGCTCAACTACATAATGTTTTAGCCCTCATTTGCACTATCAATACAGGTGAACATAGATAATGAGAGAGTTGGTGAACTTGGCGGGTTTAGTTTCTTATTTGGCCCTTTTTTTAATTTATACATTCTAATTGGGCCTCTTTTGTTTTATATTTTTGCTAATACAAAAATGAGAACACATTTTTAAGCCCCATAATACGGAGAAATTATTGCATACGGACACCGCATCCGATCCTGACCGTAGATCACGGTGATCTACGGTCAGGATTATTTCAGTTTTTTTTTAAAAAAATTAAGTGGGACCCACCGAAATACATCCTAACCGTAAATCACCTGATTTACTATCAGGATCGGACGCCGCACGCATCCTGTGTGCGGTGTCCGATCCGTATGGAATAATTTTTCCATAATACGTGGACTGGCAGGCAATAACATGAGTACGAATATTCTTATTTTTAAAAACAAAATAAACCTTTATTTGACATAATATTAGGATTTATATATTTTATATGTTTTAAAATCATATAAATAATAACATAAATTAAAAAAAAACATGAGGTAAGTAAGAAATTGGTAACAATATAAGATTAAAAAGATAATAATATTTGAGATTGAAAATAAAATAAATAAAAGATTATTATATCATTCAAAAATCATGTTAATAAGAATTATTATTATAATAATAATAATTAAGTATAATACTAATAATAAATAAACAAAATTTAATATTAGCTTAATGAAATGTAACCATCAATTTTTTTTTTTTTTGAAAAACTGCACATAAAAAATATAACTTAGTATATATAATATAAATCATCAAAAACTAACATTTAATAATTTGCTTAATTAATGTTCATAAAATTCAAATGCACATCTCCTTTTTATACCTTTTTTTTTTTAATTAAAATGGGAAATGTGACATATGTGCCTACATGTGTTAGACGTGTGTCCATGTTTTCCATATGTCGTACACAACATACCTCATTACAACAATGTTTGGTGCATCATAACTCTATCAAGGAGAGTTGAACTTGGCTTAGGCTTTGATTGGAGGACTAGAATTAAGGATAATGAAAAAGTCAAAAATGAAACTGAATTCAAATAAAATTTTGCTTTTTTATTTATTTCTTAAGATTTTGAGTTTTAGCAAGTTAGGAGGTTGGTATATGTGAGTTAACTGTATGACTTCATTTTTTTTTATTTTCATTGTATCAAAATATTTTGATATATTTTATATATGAATGACCAATTTATATAATAAATCTTTAATTTCAGACATTGTGTGCTATCTCGTATATTTATTGTGTTCTAGAAGTTTATGAAGACAAAGTATAGAAATTTATTATCTTAGCTTTGCACAAAAGTTTTGCATTCAAATAAAAGAGAAATGAGCATGAGAGTTGCCCATGATTTTTTCTTGAAAAACTTGAAACTGAAAAAAAAAAAAAGAATCCTAATACAATTGAGATAAGTTTACTATATAGATATATGTTATAAATTTTTTATGTAGCTTGAATAGAAGAAGGTTATTGTGGGTTTTCAAATTGATTTTTTTTTAATAGATGACAAAAATATTGGTGAATGGCAATAAATGAGTGATGGTCTAATGGTGGGAGCCGAGAAATAGTAGTTTGATGATGACGTCAATGACGATGGTATTGATGTGATAGCATTCCTACAATGTTACTAATTCAATGTTGGCAATGGTGGGGACAATCCAATGATCGTGGTAGCCACTAGGTAGTAATGGTCAAACTATAAGTTGAGGACGGTGGAGGTTTGATGGCAAATGAGTGGAGTTTAGAAATCTTCAGACTCTTAGTGCTCCTTTTAAGTCTTCTCCTTAAAGTTTAATTTTCTCCTTTTTCCCTCGAGTTTTCTCTATGAAGGAACGAGTGACGCTTGTTTAGATTTTCATATTTCAGATTCATGTTTATTACCTAAAATGTAACTAAATACACACTTATATTTTGATTTCAACTTTTTTTGTAGCTTTATTATTTATTTTTCCATACATTTCTTCTTTGTGTTGTTTTGTGTTCGCAAGGTTCTAAACAACTCATATTATAGCAAATAAGAGAAGAAGATGCCATCAATGCAAAAGTTTGAAAGTGGCAGATGCGCTTATGAGGGCAATTTTAGTATTTACATTATTAAGATGAAACCATGCTTATTTATCAAGGGCTTTTGGATTCTATCACAAAATATAGTTTCTCTTCGATGGTTGATTGGGCAAAGGCAAGGGTATTGTAATTGACAGCTTGCAATGCATGACATTCTTAAAGAAGCTAGAATCCATTTTCTCAAGGAAATTCATGACAAACATACAATTCTTGAAGAACTAATTATAAGCTCTTCAAATTGAGGATTCAAAAGATCTTAGATAGCATGCAAATAAGTTAAATAGGATCATTCTTGATTTAAGAGTTACTATAAGGATCACATAAGATCAAGGGATTACACTTCTCATCTCCCACAAAAATCATACATAAAAACATTATTGGCAAATGGTTATATCACAATCAAAGCTTGAAAATGAAAACATGAAATCTATTCTTATGCTTTAAGTTTTTCAAAGAAAGTTTGAATGAACTAAAAGCAAATGTGGTAGCAACTTATCGACAACATGAATGAAGAAGCAATGAAACAACATGAATGTAAAAAGTTAGAATGTAATATCCCAACCTCAATCTAAGATAACAATAATTAAATGCAAGGTCTAGATCAAAATCCAAGATGTCACAAAAATGTTTATATTGCCATGAGGAAGGGAAAATCAAGATTGTGTGAAAAAATTAAAATAACAAGGGATTGATTAAATGAAGATGGAAATGTTGTTATTGTTTCAAATTTAGATGGATACATGTCATCTAAAGTGCTACTTGTTCCAACCAAGAGTGCCATCAATGATTGGATCATTAAGCATGCGTGTTCATTCCACATGACTCTTTATGAAGCTTGCTTGAATGATGTTGAAAAGGAACAGTCACATGGAAGAATATTTTTTTGGGAGACTATAAAGCTTATTCATACATTGTCAGGTGCTACATTGCAATTGAATTGTTAATAGTTGTAATTAAACTTTACAAAGTAAATGGTATGTTCCCAAACTCAAGGGTGATCAAATTTCCATTAACATGTTGCAGGTTACTGCATTTTAAAAATTAGAAAAGGCTTGATAAAAGTCGCCAAAGGTGTATTGGTGGTTATGAGGGGTTTAATGATTAATAATTCATGACTTCAATGGGCTAATATCAAGTAATTCTATAATCTTATTACATCTACCACTGTTAATAATACCAAGCTCTAGCATTTTATGCTTATGCACATTAATGATTAGAGCTTGACATAACTCAGTAAGCAAGTTGTGTTACAACATCAACATTCATGCAATAAAACACAACATCAGAGATAATCTAGACTATATTCATTGTGATTTACAGGGGCAATTAAAAGTTTATACAAGTAGGTTTATTTCATCCATACAAATTTGACCATTATATGTTTTCAATCTCAATTTTAGACAACGAGTTACAAAAAATAATGGTAAGAATATGTAAGTTAGAATAGATCAAAATGTGTTTTATTAGTTAATAGTTTGTTTTAAGAAAAGTTTAATATTGTAGTTTAGAATATTATGCCTATTTTTATTTACACAAGAGAGACCAATATAAGCTTTCCATCTCAAGCTTAGATAATGATTTATAAAAGTTGATAAACAATTTTTTTTGTATTAGAATGTTTTGGATCAAATTTGATCTCTATTTAGGAATCAGAACTCGCTCTGATACCATGTAACGAAAAGAGACAATGGAAAAGTGGCTAGGGTTTCAATTGCATAAATCACCTCATTACAAGAGTAAAAGATAAATATATATACAATAAGAAAGAAGACTAAACTAACCTTAAATAGGGTAAATAATAGAAATATAAAGACTATAATATCTAGCAATATATTACTTTTATGTTAAAATATTTCCAATAACAATGCACTCATCTTATTCTCGAATAATAAACCATCAATTTTTGCATTAGTGATTCTAGAGAAAATAAAAAATATGAGACAAAAGTTTTTACGGCTATGGGCTAATATTAATATCAATTAACTATTATATGATTAATATATATCATCAGTGACATATTAAATAAAATACAACTATAATAATCATTTGATTTTAATAGCAACAATTATGATTTAACAAAATAAAAATCAAGCAATTTTATAGAACCATTGTAGGTTTAAAAGTGGTATAGTTTATCTCGGTTCAATCTAATTTGATCTTGATCTTATACCCTAGGCATGCCGGTTAACAATCCATCCGTTTAAATTGACTGGTTTGAAAAAAATTTTAATACATTGCTTGTTATAGAAATAGTTGAACTTGAACATATATATTGAACTTAGTCTTAAATAAGTAAAATAGGAACAAATCTTTGTTTAATCGAATTTGGCTATTCAAAAGTTCAAAGACACACACACACTTGTAAGTTTCCATTAATCTCATACGTACATGATAATCATAGCCATGGGATTGCAATCCTATGGGAGCATGATAGAGCAATAATAAATGGAACACAAGCTCTATGTTCATGACCAAAATTAAATACAAGTAGCATTCAAACAAAACAAAAATTAAATTAGCCAAACATTAATACATATCAACATTGTACAAGTTGGGTTCCTTGCCACCCATAAGATATCCCTTGGAAAGGAATTGGGAGTCCTAGCACATGTGACAACCTCTGAGAAGTACATGTACATTCCTCTTTAATACACTTATTTAAATCTTATGATTGCTTCTTTTCCAATCTAAATTCAAAAATTGAACTCATGTAGCCGTTTTAATGGGCTTCACCAGCCTATGGGCCCAGGCTTCATTTATGAAATAAATAAACAAATAATAACGGTCGATTTCTAATATTATCTTCTACCGGTTTCCCTCTTCGCAACAATTTGAAAAAACTAGGGTTCATCCTCTGAGAACGAGGTACCGAGAGCGAGCTAGATGGAGAAGTACGATAAGCTGGAGAAGGTCGGCGAAGGAACCTACGGTAAAGTTTACAAGGCTCAGGACAAGACCACGGGGCAGCTGGTGGCTCTCAAGAAGACGCGGCTTGAAATGGACGAAGAAGGAATCCCGCCGACCACTCTCCGCGAGATCTCCCTTCTGCAAATGCTCTCTCAAAGCATTTACGTTGTCCGGTATCTATCGACTCGCCATTGTTGTGTCTTCTTCTTGGACGGCGATTCTTGGATTTTGATTGCTTCGTTTTGCAGATTGTTGCGCGTGGAGCATGTTGAGAAGAATGGGAAGAGGCTTCTTTACCTCGTGTTTGAGTATCTGGACACCGATCTAAAGAAGTACATTGATTCTTACAAGAGAGGGCCGAGGGCCAAATCCTAAGCCGCTTTCCATCTCGAGTGATTCAGGTGGGGAATACTTCCTACCTCGAGATCTGCATTCACCTAAGATTTAGAATGAGTAACAGGGCATGTTTAATCTTTTTACCCTTTTTGTTTTTTTCTTTCTTTCATTAGTTTTAGTTTGTGTGGTCTTTTTTATGAGGATTGTGCTGTTTGACACTTAATCGAATGTAAGATCTGAGTTTGGTGGATTGATCGATCTTCTTGAAGGTATAATGGTTTCCAGTGGTAAAAGTTTAGTTTTTTTATTTTTTTAGTTCTCAGGTTATTGTGGTAAATTAGAGGTGAAAATTTATGTCTATCATGAATTTTTATGATAAAAGCCGTGCTTTTTCTCTCTATTTCACTGTCAGAGAAAGAACTTTATCATTTTGGTAAAAAATAGTACGTGCGTACATGATAGGTGCAGATTAGGCACATATTGGTGGTATCGCCGTTGTATTGAGGTGGTATTGGAACAATATTGAGGGGGCAATACCACCCCAATATCATGGTCTGCATATACAAACTTCGCACGTAATATTCACTCTTTAGCTAAAAATATTTGTGCGGACATGATAGGATTTAGTAAATCTTGTAAATCTAGATTTCGTGAATCTTGAGAGTACTAGAACTTGAAAATTATTATTCTGTTTGGCAGCATTTTAAGATCAAACTTGCTTGCCAACTAGGATACGAAGTAACCCCCAAGACTCTATTTGGCTTTGCTCTCGCTTTAATGTGCTGTTGAGTAAAACTAATGACTGTTTTGTAAAATCACATTAATGTTACAATCTAGAGTGCTATAAGATTTGTCTATGTTAGATTGAAGAATATTAACTAATATGGGATGATTTAGTGATTAAGATGAATAATAAAATTCATACAATAATAATATAATATCCTAATTTTGGTAAATAAATACATTATATAAAATGATTAGTTAATTGATTGCTTAGTTATAAAAGTTTAAAACTTTTAAACTATGGCTTTAAGGAACATTTTTTTAAAGTTTTAATATAATTAGACATTTTCTCGTAAATTTTTTTCTACATATCTTATCACTGCTTCTGCTGTTTAAAGGGATAGAATTAGCCATAAGAAATTTATAGCAATGACTACTAATTTTTTTTTTTTTCACGTTTTGTGCCACTTGTTTTATTCTAATGAGCCAAGTATTCTCTCTTCCTCCAGAGTTTCTTGTATCAGTTGTGCAAAGGTGTTGACCACTGCCACAGCCATGGAGTGCTGCACAGGTTCGTACTTTATCGTCTGAAATATACTTATGACTGTATGGTAACATTTTGCCAGCTTTAGTAAATTCTGATTTACTAAATACTGCTCACAATTGGATTTACTAAATATGGGATTTAAGGCAAAATCGAGAATAAATTGAGAAGGAGACTGACATTTTTTTCTTCAAGTTAAATCCTATGTAAGGTGATTTCTGGCAGCCAATTAATAGGCGGATTTAGTAAAGAATTTAGCTTAAATCCAACCAAACATAAAAAATCTGAACCTTAAATCCATGCTTCGTTCAACCAAATTTTATCGCGTTCTAACTGTTTTTTCCTTGTGTTTCGTCTTCTGCCTCACGTAAATCCGGATTTATTAAATCCGAGTCGCAGTCGGATTTAAGACTGTGGCTTCAAAGCTTTTTTTCGTCAAAATAGATTTGATAAATCCAGATTTACTGAAACCTATTTAACGTAAATTGGTGATGCAGCCAAATACTGCCAAATTTGTTACTATAGAAGCCCCCTAATTGCTTAACATAAACTATGGCCCCAGTTATTTAAAAGTTGTTTTACAATATATCAGAGACTTGAAGCCTCAGAATCTTCTGGTTGACAAAGAGAAGGGCATCTTGAAGGTTGCAGATCTGGGATTAGGAAGAGCATTCACCATTCCTCTAAAGAGCTACACGCACGAGGTTTTTAATTCTTTGCAATAATGTCTTTGACGAATTGAGTATATGTTCTCCACTCAAAATAACTGTCTTTCATTAATGTTTTAAGAAGTCCAAGACACAACATTTAAAATCTCCTTTTTACCATTTTTGTTATAAAATTAGAATTTTACCATTGTCTATGCGTTGGGCATATATTTTCACAAATAATGCTACTCTAACTATGAGAATTAAGATTCTATCAGAGTTGATTTCAAGAGTCTTATGTAATGAGAACTATGATTTATATGTCAATATGATTATGGCATGAGATTTCAAATGCTATTTTCAAGTAAGTTTGTGAGCTGTTCGTATCTTATCGTGTTCCTATCCGTACACACCTCTTTGAATCATAGAGTATTTCTGAATAACTCATCTCCTTGTCATTTTAGATTGTTACACTTTGGTATAGAGCTCCTGAAGTTCTGCTTGGATCGACACACTACTCGATCGGAGTGGATATGTGGTCAGTTGGGTGCATTTTTGGTAAGTAGAAGGATTGTTGGTAACCAGAGACAAGTAATTTCTTTTTAGATGTGGTTTGCAATATGAATACTAAAATTCTTAGCAATATATAAGTGAAACTGGTGTATTTGTAAAAAGTAAAATTTAGGTATTAGATATGTAAATACATAGGAATTGAGTGGTATGCATGTAAATCTTTCAATTTTCATTACCATGGGGCATTTTGCGTCTTTGCCACGTTGGCTTCCTCCTTATAGTATTGTGATTAATGCAGCCGAAATGGTTAGGAGACAACCTTTATTTGCTGGTGATTCAGAGTTACAGCAATTGCTTCATATTTTCAGGTATTTTGTTGGGAAATTTTGCTGATAACGTGAACTGATCTGTTAATTTATATCTGTAGCATGAACATTTTGTATTTAGTATTAAATCACTAGCAAATGAACAAACCTGAATATTAAATCACTCATTTATTTACATTAGTAGATATGACTGTTTGTCTTTAGAGAAGCACCTTTCTTTAGTGCAGTTAGATTAGTAAAATAATTACCAATATTTATCAACAAAAATTACTAGATAATGAAAAACTAATAATAAACATGATGACCAAACTTCTAGAGCTAATATTTATGGTTGTCAATTGTCATGAATAAGTAAAATTTACATATACAAATTGTTGTCGTTTTGTAAAACTGTAGTCAAGCTTTTAAATGATTTGAAAATTGAATTATTGGACAAGTAAACAATATGAAAATTTTGAAGTTCTATTATATTTCATGAATTATTTAGCACTTAGACCACATTTTGTTTTACCTATGGCCTTGTTTGAGATCATTTTTTTTATGCTTTTTTTTTGGTTTTTCAAAACCTGTTTTCCTAAAAATAAATAAACATATTTCAAAAACACCTAAAATAATATTTAGGTGTTTTGAGTAATTTAAAAAACAACCATATCTTCTTAATCAGATATAGCAAATATATTTGTGTTTCAAATCAAAACATGAACAAAAAGTAGAAAACACTAAATAAAACTGATCCCAAACAGCTTCTAAATAGTTATGTTGTAAATATTTTATAATCATGCATTACGAAGTATTTTTTTCCAGTATATATGTGGTATTAAAGATCCATTTTTGTTTTCTGCCGCCATTTTTATCTGACAAAACTAATGAAACTTGAAGGTTTCTTGGGACTCCTGATGAAGAGAAGTGGCCTGGAGTCTCTTCTTTGCGAGACTGGCACGACTATCCACAGTGGAAGCCCCAGAGCATGGCTAATGCTCTCCCCTTATTGGAACCTGAAGGAATTGACCTTCTATCGGTAAATTTACTATTCTTTTTACCATTATGCACAGAACCAACAGGGATTAGTTATCGAATAAAACATTTAGCTAATATTGGAAGCATCATCTACTCAGACTCAAATGCATATTGTTTATGCAATACATTTCAAGATAAAAAATTTAAAATTTTTTTTATACATCCAGAAATTTAATGGTATAATTTGAGCTGAGTACAACCTCAAACACAAAAATAAGTTTTTCAGCATAATCTAACATGAGCTAAGCTCAAATTGAGCAAACAACTAACTATGCAGGTCAAGCTTCAGTCCTTCACACCCTTAAAATTAGCCTAAAAAAATAAGTGCCATCATCATCATTCATTAAAATTTTTGGTTGCATTGATCAGTCATCTAATCTAAGTACTTTTTTTTTTCTTTTGTTTGGCAGGGTGAGCATTCTAATCTAGCATCTTGGGATTCTTCATTTTATAGCTACACATTCAAGCACTATCTGATTACTTTTGCTACTTGTTTTGCAGAAAATGCTAGAGTATAATCCGTCAAATCGAATTTCTGCAAAGGAAGCAATGGAACATCCTTACTTCGACAACCTTGACAAGTCACAGTTCTAACTTGTAACTGAGTTTTCTGGACAGTCTGTGTGTGTGTGGTCTCTTGCTGCTATTTTCATTGCAGTAGCAGCTGACATTTATTAACAAGTATAGAAACTCTACTGCGTCTAGAGTTCTTTAGCAGTCATGGCTTATTGTTGGTGTTTGTACCACCAGACCTAGAAAATGAATAAACACTAAAAGAAAGCTTATCTCAATATGCGTTTGATTGCGAGGATAAAGACTGATAGCAATTTAATATTGAGTTAATCTGAACCCAACTCAAGATGGATCCTGAATCATTCAATTTAGCCTCAATTTGTACTATTTAGTTATTGGAGCATGACCTGATCTCAATTTGAGTAAAAAAAAAAAATCTAATATCAATTAATTTCTGGTGTCATAAAACTATATATATATATATATATATAAACAAAAAAAATGCAAATTTGGCCATAAAATAATTCTTACATTCATGTGCATTTAGGGATGCATATATGTACCTTTCAATCCATTCTCAAATTAGCTCAGTCTCTTATATGTTGTGATCAATTCAAATGATATGAATTGGGTTTGGTTCATTGTCTTAGATTTATGTTCAAATTAAGCCAAAATTTGGTTCATTGGGCCTGGTCCCGTTTGGGACAGCTTTTTAGGTGCTTTCCAAAGAAAGCACCTAATATGTTGTTTGGAGAGCCTCATTTCTTATGCTTTTTTGAAAATTTTGTCCCCAAAACTTTATTCTGGGAACCGAGAGCGACACTTCGATTCCATGGAACGGAGCGTTGCGGGAGCACAAAATGCCAGTGCTGCCCCTGAGTAATTTGTGGAATTACTGTCCTACTCGTGATATTACCCTCCCCTTCCCTTCCCTACGGAGCGTTGTGGGAGCACAAAATGCCAGTGCTGCCCCTGAGTAATTTGTGGAATTACCATCCTATTCGTGATATTACCCTCCCCTTCCCTTCCCTTCCCTTCACTTCCCTTTGCAGTTTCTCCGTTTGTATTGAGTACATTTCATGCTATGTGCTTGAAATTTATTGATTGATATTTCATTTCCAATTTATTTGGGCTCACTCGGGATTTGGTGGGATTGTGTGATTTTGTTTTAAAATTTTTTGGGCTTGCTCTGAATTTGGGTGGAGGAGGGGTGTGTAATCATGAAACTTCAGGTGTGAGCTTTGTAAATACAAGAAATTTGTGCTCTGCATGTAAGTAAATAAGAAACGTGTGCTATGTATGTAAATACACAAGTTTTGTGTGCTTTTTTTCGAAACATTGTACCCTTGGTATGCATGTGATGAGATTGCTATAGTTTTGGTTGAAGTGGTAGGCTGGCTTGTTAAGAAATCGGTGGCATTTGGTGGCGTGTACTGACATACAACTCGATTTTATGCATAATTGGGGGCTATGTTATGCATTCAGTGTGCGTGATGATGAAAGTTTAGGCGTGAGGGTTTTAAATGCTTAAGAATTTTTTTGTTATGTAAGTATATGAGAAATGTGTGATATGTAAGTACATAAAAAATGTTTACGTGATGAAAATTAGGTGTGAGGTTTTTAAATACATAAGAATTATGTGCTATATATGTAAGTACATAAGAAATGTATTTTTGTTTGAAGTACACATGAATTCTTGTGCTAGGTGTGAGTTTTGTTTGAAATAGATAAGAAATGGGTTTTTTGTTTGGAATACATAAGAAATGTTCTTTTAGGTATACAAGAATTGGCGGGATTGCTCTGTTTAGAGGAAAGGGCGGTACTTCAACATAAATTTAGAAGATTTGCTTACGCAGCTAAATTCTTATGCATTTACATATCTAACACATAAACATGCATTTCTATATACATGAGACCTAATATAAGTGCATAAATGCTTTCTTTGTTGTGATGTTAAATATTTGTGAACATAAGAAATGTGTGATATGTTTGTAAACACATAAAAGCTTAGAGCTTTTGTTTGTAAATACTATGGGCTTGCTATGGATTTGGTGGGATTGACCTATTTTAACATATCGTTAGAATAATTACTTACAACACAATTCTTATGCATTCACATATCTCGTCATATTCCTCATGGCTGTTTCATTTATACATTTGGATTTGTGAATTTTAGTTTATGTTGTCAACCTTTATTACATAATCACTTTAAAATGTTGCAGCTCATAAGATGGGAAAAAAAAAAGAATGTGGTATATCAGCCACTTGGGAGAGGACGGTCAAGATCATTTTCTATAATTTATACTTAAAAGAGATAGAATTAGGCAACATGTCTACTACACATTTCAATAAGAATGCTGACAAAACATAACAACACAATTTCATGAAAAGATAAGAATAATATATGATAAAACCCAACTAAAAATTAAATGGGATTAGTTGAAAAATGATTGAGAATTGTGGAAGAAATTTAAGAGATGAGCTACAGGATTAGAATGAGATACTATTAAGAAAAAAAATAGACGCATCAAAGGAATGATAGAGAGAGAAGCTTTTGGTAAGTAGATAATCTTATTACAAAATTATTCAATATTTTGACATTGTTTCTTAATTGATTTTTTCAAATGTAGGTTGTGCTCAACATATAAAAAAAAAAGTATTGTGACATAGATCCTAAGCTTGAAGATAAGCTTAAGTAAAGTGTGGGCTACAACACAGGAAAGTCTTCAAAATTTAGATGAACCTGAATTTGCTCATTCAAATAAAATTTTTGAGGAACCAACCCACGAGGTGGAACACGTTAAATCTAGTCAATCCAAACACAGTACACAACAAAGTCAACTACAAAAAAAAAAAGGCTTGCGCTGGATTTTTAAGTCAACAAATTTCACAATTAGTTACTTCATGTGCTAGTATGACGTCCAGTGCTTGCACAAACAATTCGTTGGCTAAAGCCATTAGGCTACTGGATTGCACTCTTAAAATCTTTGAGGACTTGTCGTTATATTTATTTGCCACAAAACTTTGAAGAACCAACGAAGCAGGATGCTTCATCACAATGGTCCCGGAGTTGAGAATTCATTATATTTGTTGTTTTTTTTAAATAAATCCAGTTGATCTTTCGTTAATAATTTTTTGTTTGATTTTCTTCATGTTTTGTTAAACATCTTTTTGAGTTATTACTTATATTTATTGCATTGATGTGATTAATTCAATTTGTGTAATAATTTGTGTCTCGATATTTCTTTCGACATTGCAATACTTTAATTCACTTAGAAGTACCCTTCTGTTATTGTAAGTTGTTATTTTTATTGTTTCATTAAAATTTTCTTTCGGCAATGCAAGAAGTGGTCTAATGAATCCATCACATGAAGAAATCATAGAGACGATTCAACGAATAACCATTATGTCAGTTACAATATCTCATTAAAGATTACTACCAAACTTAATTGTGCAAGACTCCGTGCATGACATTTTTCTCAGTAGGTGACAAATGGATTGATGAGTTCTTTCAAGGTCATTCAAATAGAATTTACATGTTCCAAATATCCAAAATAATATTATGTGATCTCATGAACAAATTGTAAAATTCGTACGATTTGAATGAATCGTCCAAAATTACATGAAACGAAGTATTGATTGTCATTTTATATATATTATCACATAATGAGTTGACGTGTGCTATTTCCAAATGGTTTCAACATTCAACAGAGCTTATCAGCAGGTAATTTGATATTTATCTTAATTTGTTCGTTAGATTGCCTTCATCTATTGCTAAACCAATAGATCTCAGTTTTGGTGATACACCAAGAGAAATACATGCTGATATCAAATATAGGAGGTTCTTTAAGATATATAAATTTATAACTTCATTGGCATGTTTTACTTAAGAGTAATTGTTCGTTTCAATTTCTAACAGGAATATGTAAGTCATTAATTATACATATGTAGATGCATGTGTTGGTAACAATAAAAAGATCACATGTATATCAGTCAATGCGGATCTCCAACACAATATATTAACAATATGTGACTTCAACATATGTTTTGCTTTGTAATGACCAAATGGGAAGATAATGACATGATAGTTGCATTTTTAAATTTGCAACTCGGAGGCCTGATTATAATTTCTAATGTCGCATTCAGTTCAGTTCAATTAATCAATTTAATTTAAAAGTAATTATTGTTATTTGTCATAATATTGCTTACTTATAAGCAAGTACTAGCTCATCGATGTTGGGTATCCCATGCAACAAGATTTCTTGAAGCCCTTTCCCATACGAAATATCATATCCTGATTTCGATAGAGACGTGAATGAATTATTTATACAGCGTCATTAATCATTACAATGTGTAATTGAGAGAGCATTCAGTGTATATATATATATATA